CAGTTGCCGGCTGAGGTTAAACTACGACACATGGCTAAAAAGGTATTGCCAGACCCTCCATCCAATTAACTGTTATACTGCACCTCGTGTAATAATTTAGAGAAGTCAGTGTGAATGTCACCATAAATCACTACATAAATGCAAGGCTGCAGCGCAGTGAATGGTGTTAGCTTCAAAGCAGAGACAACTATTATCCATCCCGCTGTAGAGAGGTCCCAGAAGGGAATGCAAGTCGTTTGCAGGATTGCAACTGTACTGCCATCTTTCAGAGTTGACCAACAGGACGTGAAGCACATGGCACTGTTTGCTCTTGGGTGCCAGGCAGATTAGACCATGCTTTCAAGGAGTCCTCTTGAAGGAAAAAGAAAATGCAATTGTGGTTATTTTCAGGCATCGACCCAAATTGCATACAAGTTTCTACTCAGAAATTGCATACAGGTTTCTACTTGGAAAATCACCTTTCTCTTTTTTTTTTCCCCTCTCTCTCTGTTTTTGGAGCTTTCATTAGTTCTTACAAAAAAATGAAACTATTCAATCCAGAGGAGACCGTAGTAGAGGTCTTGCAGAAGTGGATTCAAAGTGCTCTCTTGCTTAACTGAAAAGTAGAAACATAAAATCCTGAGTTGGCTTATTTTTCTCCACAGACATACGACATTTGAATAAACAAGTAGTAATGAAAAAGGACAGACTTAAATGACTTTTTAAAAAATTTTCTCTCAGTGAATCCTGTGGTGCCATTATACACATTGTTGTCCCAGATCTGCCAATCCCAGTAGGTCCAAACCCAATTTACTGTGCATGCACAAATGGTTGGAGTGTGAGCCTTGAGTTTCATGTGTCCTGAACATCTAAAGAGTTACTGAGAAGATCTGCTGTCTGTCACACGTACAGTGGGGTCAGCCTGGGCTCCTAAACTTCAGGAAAACCAATAAGCAGCCACAAAAAAGCACCTCAGTGGTAGATGAGGTTGAGTGGCCACCAAAATGAGCAACACTGGCAGATTCACTGTAGTTCCCAGGACAAAGATATTTTCCAATAGGCTTCCACAAAAAATAAAAATCAATTTCTGTAAAATGACTGTGATCAAGAGAACTATAAGGGGGAAACAAAAATATTTACATATACTCTTTAGTCTAGATTATATCAGCCAAAGCAATGTAGAGACATAAGCACAAATCAAATTTGTTTTCCTTCGTGTTGCTAGCAGAGTTGGGAGTCCACTACACTGTAACAGTGCCTCCATAGGTGGTTTTACAGTGTAAGATCAGCTCCTAACCAAACAGCTTGTATCCATCCTTTAAGGAAAGGCAGACAGACAAAGAGAAAGCCTGTAATTTAAAGTAAAAGAACTTGAACGCTTTCTTCCTCCCGGTCCTGGTGTGTTCCAGCCAGTACAACTCTCACGAATGCAAAATGAAGACAGTAAAAAGAGGAACAGAACTGTCATGTTCTGGAAAAAGGTAAATCCTGTTACTACTCACAAATGCAATTCAATTGCCAAATCTTGGGGAATTTAATTCTTCCATTAACCTGGTCACCCTCCCAGAGATACACGTAGCCTTTCCTTCCAGGCAGTCTACTCTCCTCTCTCCCAGCTACAGCTCTGGGCAGGTACGGTAACACTAGAGCTGGGAGTGATGTTCACACCTGGTTTATTTAACGTAGCCATTCCTGAGAAGCTGATAACAGTATTTTCATAGTGAATGATTTGCATTTCTGAGCCTATAGCACAGTGCCAGACCCAGCTGCTTGGAGATGTTCATTTGAGATAATCAAATATTTAGCAGCAGTTTGCTCTAGCAAGCACTGCATTAGGCCACATCTTACGAAGCGGGGCTCCTTCCCATGTTAGCCACCACCGTGCAAGTGGAATTCCTCCAAAGGACAGCCCCCGCTGCAGGAAGCACACAGGTTTCACCCATGGGTGCCTGGGAGGAAGGGCTGGCAGCCTGGTACCTGTGAACACCAGGAAGAGTAGAAGAGCTGTTTGTTTAAGTGAGACTAGTGCTCTATGAACGTTTTAATGGTTCACTGTATAATTGCAATGAGTAGGTTGGTATTTTTAACTGTTAAACATTCACCAGTGTGAATTAAATGATTTATTCTATATAAGGATTCTAGGTCTACATTTCTTAGTGGAGGGCACTGTTGCTGGACTAGGCTCCCTCTCTGGGACTTGTATTTTTTCTGTGTTTCTTTTCTCATGCAGAACCAGCTATTATAAGAAATAAATGAATAATTTACTGGCTGAACTTAGCATTTTCATCTTATCTCTGAATTAAGCTAAGGGTTTTCTCAAATACATAAACTATTGGGAACTCTTTGTCATAACCATTTGGGAAATACTTCTTCATTTACAGGATTCATGAGCAATTCACTGAAGGTGTGAAAAGTCATACTGGCTGCGTGCCAGGGAACAGCCAGGGCCGGCTGCTCCCCGAGGGCCGGAGAGCCAAGGGGGCTGGGAGTGCGAGCCAGCAGGTTGGGGTGCAGGTGAGGATCTGGGGGCCCGTGGCCATAGCTCAGGCAGGGGACAAGGACAAGAGCCTCGGCTGAAGCAGCTCCTGAGGGCCAGGGCTCGGTGCCGGCGGTGGCCTCCCCGCCATGCTGCCCGGG